TCTCTCTCCACGTTAGGCATGCACCGATTTCGATTAAAATTCGAATAATCGAACTTCGATTATTCGAACCTTCGATTATTCGAACCTTCGATTATTCGAACCTTCGATTATTCGAAATCGAAAATATTCGAACCTTTTTTATGTTTCTGGCAAAATACTAGAGCGACGTGAGAGTTCAGATTATTTGTGTAAAGTGTAAAATGAAGTTAAGATGGATCTTGATTAGGCATGCAACGTAAAGGTTACCATTACCGTTTTACCGGTTTTCGTCTGTGCTAAAACCGGAAATAGAACTGTCGGTAAATGCTCGCATAGAGCTTCAGGAATCTGGTTCTTAGCATATCAACGGTATTAAACAGAAACACGGTAAAAACCATCTGGATCATTCTTAGCAATTTTTGATGATAGCATCCAAGTGTCAGACTTTTACGACAGCACAAACGAAGACGATAACGCTGCATATTCTTTAACTTGATTTCTTCTTTTCTTAAAACTGTTGTGCTATGTGACCTACAATAAACTTTCAAAATAACTTACGCATGCGTGAAAGACGTATTCTTTTAAAGCCAACAATTTCTCTTCTATTTATACAGTCTTGATATCTATATTCTACTAAAATCTTCGTGTTCTTTATTTTTCTCGTCGATGTACAGACACTACTATATCTATCTACAACCAGACATGTGCGCCGATAAAAAATTTTCGGCGGCGGCGAATGAAACTTTTACCATGGGCGGCGGCAGCGCGAGGCTATGAAAACTTCCTCCGCCTTCGGCGGCGGCGTGTAAATATTAGTCATCGGCGGCGAATCTCATAATTTAACTTCTAAAACGAGAACCTTTTTAAAGTTCTCGTTCTCTTTCATTTCTGGCACGTTCTTCGCGCCCTGACTGTGTCTGTACGTTGCAGTATACGAAAAGATAGAAACGCGTTGCACGCTAGATGCCTAAGGTAAGAACGTACTAACAAAAATAGTCAAAATTTTCTCCGCCCTCGGCGCCGACAAAAGTTCAACAACATGGCGGCGGCGGCGGAAGTCAGAACAGTTTTTCTCCGCTGTCAGCGGCGGCGGCGAAAGTCGCAATAATTTTTCTCCGACTTCAGCGGCGGCGGCGAATCGGCGAACCGGCGCGGCGGCGCACATCTCTGTCTACAACACGACTGACACATTAATAGAACAAAAAATAATAATGAAATATCTCTCTCTCTCCACGTGCTAACTGCCATACTACAATAAAAAAGTTCGCTACAGACGCACAGTATTTCGACAATTGTTCTGTATGGGCATATTTTTGAAAACCTCGTTTATAGCTTATTTTGAAGGCCAGAAAATTTTCTATTTTACTATGTATGCGCTTTGCTCAAGGACTTTGAAATCGGAGGAGAAATTTGCGGAAAACGGTAAATGGCTTTTGTTGAACTTGTGGCGAAAAATGAAATGTAATTTTTTTTTCAAAGACACCAGAAGGATTTTTTGAAAATGGGAAGTGTTGGGAGGTGAAAAGGGAAGCATTTCTGATCATTTCCACTCAAAATCATATTGGGCGATCTTCTAGCAGAAACCGTTTCCCGTCCTTTGTATGCAACTCTAAAAATGAAATAATCATTTTTTTTCCTTTGAAAGAATTAAACACGGCAGCAGTTTAACATCAATAATTGTATTGCGGGAAAGCCTTTTCTGGACCTGTGGGTTTCCTTCGCCACACAGAAGATGCAAGTAGAGAATTATTTATCATCTATTTTTCGTTCTGTTGTAGAGATCTATCTGAAGTATTGCTTACCATGCCAGCATCGAAAACCCGTAAAAGCACCCGTTGTAAGTAAGCCGATACTATCTCCCGTGTCCTAACTCGTCTTCAAATCGATTTGATGGATATGCGTACTCGACCTGATTGTATTTCTAGTAACGTTGTGTATCAATGGATACTATATTGCAAAAATCATTACTCAAAATATTCATGGGCTCACCCGTTGGTCGATAAATCAGCTGGTGGTGTTGCAAAAAGATTGATTTTTAAGATTGAATTGTTTTTTACATTTAGTCCATATTAATATTAATAGAAAAAAACAACAACATTTCACCTTGTGATACCTTATAAACAGTTTTTGATTAATCGTTCAGCTATTAATGATGATGATACTACTCACACAACTCCACTGACGAAGTTTAATACAAAATATGTAATAGATTATTGGGTACTGCCAGATGTTCATTATCTTGCGAAAATGCTGCATCCAAATTTAAAAAGTTTTAACCATACACCCGACAAAAAATTATATGCTGAAAGTTTATTGAAAATTGCATTTAATAAACTGACACCATTAGATACAAATGTTCAAGATAAAACAAAAACGAAAGATGGTAAAAAGCTAGTCAATCCAATACCAAAGACACTTATTGACCCATTAGATGAAATATTTGATAAACCGATTGTAAAAGGTAATTTGGTGAAACCAGAATCACCCAAAACAGAATTAGACTTATATTTATATGATGAAACAAAAATTGAAAAAGAAACAAATATTTTAAATTATTGGAAATTGAATGAAACTCAATATCCTATATTAGCTCAGTTAGCTAAACAAATACTTTGCATTCCTGCTACAAATACGGCCATTGAACGCTTATTTTCGTATAGCAGTAACACAATCACTAATCGTCGAACAAGATTAGAAACTGAGCGAGTCAATCACCTGCTGTTTATCCAGCGTAATTTATCTATATTACGAGAAATTTTCCCCCCAGTTGGTGAAGAATTTAGTAAGCGAAAAAATAGTTTACAATCAACATCATCCACACCACAATTGTCACTAACTAAACGGCAACGAACTGATTTTGTTGGAGAAGAGGAAGAAAATATGGATGATAATAATGATAATGATTAACAAATGAGCTCGCATGCGGATAAACTAAGACAAAACAATAGAGTATTACGTGACATGTGTAACAAGCTCACGAACACTCTCAAACAATGATTGTAATTCGTCACAATTTAGATCCTTTTTTTGAAACCATGTTCCAATATTTTGTTGAGATAATGAGGGGAACAACCAATACGGTGAACATTGTTCTTAAATGCACATGTCATTTTATTCTCATTGTCAGTAACACGCAACGAATTTTCAACGAAACGACTCTTCCATGAATTGAAATGTGATGACAGTAGGCAGTGTGAGTGTGAAAAGAATTTCATGCGTGGAAGAGTCAGTGTACCTTCGCTTTAATGGAATGTAGTTAACGGGTGTGCCCAGTATAAATGGCGATCTCAATATTTCGTTAATATCTCGCTCAATTTTCATTGTCAAGACTTCAACTTCTTTTTGAAGATTTGTCGTTCTATTCTCTACCAAAAACATATTGAACATTTTTTATATAACGTAGAAATAAAAGAATATAGGTGAAATACTGCGAAGCTTCAATTTCGATTACTTTCAAACTCAGAAAGACAGTGTTTCAATCCTCGCTCTTTGTATGGAATAAGAGAAGATGACCTTTTTGTAGCCCTTGAAAAGCTCTGTAAATTGGCTATGTTTAAAACTCTTCATAATCGCTATTCGTTGCGGGAGATGTTTTTGCTTATACTGACTTTATCAAAAATCGCTATTTTCAAACTGCAGTTTTGGCGACATTTAGAAATATTTTTAAAAATCGCCTAAAATCAAGTATTTTAAGGTCGGGTTTGTTTTACTTCGCAGCAAAGTAATTCTTCTATTACATCCAAACAGAAGAACTTAGATAGCTCCTTTTCCTTTCCAGTGACAAGGTGAAAAGGTCAAAATAAATATATTTTCGTTGTGTTTCGGATATGAAAGCAATGGAAATTGAAGCTTCGTATTATTTCACCTATATTCTTTTATTTCTACGGTGTATAAAAAATGTTCAATATGTTTTTTTGTAGAGAATGAAACGACAAATCTTTAAAAAGAAGCTAAAGTCTTGACAATGAAGATTGAGCGAGATATTAACAAAATACTGGGACTGTCATTTATCTTAGAACACCCGTCACATGTTGTTGATTAATCGAGTCATGGATTACAGCTGAATTAGAGACAGCTAGAATACAGTTTATATCTGCATAAATGTACCTTTTAATCTATCTAGCGGGCGATGAAGCTACGTCTGCAGTTAGATTTTGTCGCTTACTTAGTTGTAATTTAGTAACTTTATATGTGCTATTAGCACTTGACCAAACTAGAGTTTATTACGTTAATAAGAACGAGTCTTCAGATAAGATTGAGGAAAATTGACGTGTTTCATATGACTCAATTTCTACTGTTCATTTGTTTCTTGCTTTTATTCGTTTTACCCAAAATGATGCCAACACAAAATCAAATCTGCAACTTTATTTATTTTATTTAGGATCGTTATCAGACTGAATAATGAATGTTTCAGATGAGCATTGATTATTCATCTTTAAGTATTGTTTTGAGAACTTTTGAGAATAATGAAACAAAATGATGTCATAACTAGTTTATTCATTTTAGCAAAGAATTATTTCAACCTTGATTTTCTGTTCTGTGACTCAAAAATAGTACATGTTGTATGTCCATGTGGGAAGCACATAGAGAAGGAGAAAAAAAAAGAATTGGTATGAAAAAAGGTGAAATATATTTTCTTAAATTGAAATTTTTGAATTTGAAAATCGAATATAATTGTATTTTCAATTATTACATTTTTCAAAAAATAAAATATAGAATGAATAAAACAAAGAATCTGTTTGGTCGTAACAGTGTTGAAGAGATACCTGATCCGGTATTGGTTGTCATTTGTGTACTTGGAGTTAGTGTTATGGATGTACTAGTAGTAGTTGTTGTTGTTGTTGTTGTTGTATCAATTATAGGTACATTTTGTGTTGCTATATAGTTAATTAGTTGTTGTAATTGTTCATCAGATTCACGGCTATTACATAAATCTTTATTACAATTATAGGTGGTTGTTTGCGATCTATATTCACCATTTATGAAGCTTCTACTATCACGTAAATTTCTTTCATTTAATAACAATGTACTATTATCTAATATATGGTTACACTCTTTTACTCTTACTATAACTTTCTGAATAACAATAACCATTTTCACATGAAACAGGTACATTTTGATTATTAATACAATGTGTAATATTTGAGGATAATTGGTCGATGAATAATAATGTCTGAATTTGTTCCATAAAATTTCGTGTTATGTTAAATGAATTAATAAAACTCAGTGTATAGCGGGTGATACAGCCTAATGGTGTTCCATATCTAGCTTCACACGAATAATCTGTGAAGAGAGACGAATTATCGTGACCTGAATGAGTGTGTATTACTTGATGTAATGCATAATTAGCGTTGTAACTTGTAGAATTTGTTGATGTAAAATTCATTTGAACTGTTTGTTTTACATAATCAATTCTTGTTTTACAATTACAATTATTTTTAAGAGTCTATCAACTCTTTTTGTTTATGAGATGGAGTCACTTTTCATAGTGCATTCGAACCGTCACGTGGCCCTGAACAAAATGTCGTATTCTCGTTAATCCATCGGTCAAAGAAGAAGAAAATATCAAAGATTTTGTTGAATTAAAAAAATTAATACAAATCTCTAAATTTTAATATCCGTTGGTGGATGGCTCTTCAATGATCCGGGACCGACAAGAACAGAATTTCATAAAATTGTATGAACACAAAGTAAAAATCTATAAAAAAATTCTATATATTTCGATGAAGAAACGTTATGCTAGGCCTTAGGGTCTTGAGATAGCGATTTCTGAAAAATTCGGTTTTCTAGAAAACCTAGTGACCTGAAAATTTCTGCTATACTCGCTACATTTTACTCTTTTAGCTTGTTGCAGCCAATGGAGAAGCGGGCGCTTCTTCAGCGCTTAAAATTCAGAAGTTTTACAACCATATCATTGGATAGCCCCTTCAATTCTCCACAATCTGGGTTGTTTCATGGTGAAAAAGTTGATTTTTGAAATGGAAGAACCCATGAAAGAACCGTGAAAAGGTCATTTTTAACAGTAATATTCCCAAAACGTGGGTGTGAGCAGTGTACATAACAATTGAGCAATAGATAGTTTTGTTCGGCGTTTAAAGCTGCATCGAATGATATTTGAAACTTTCCTTCAAACTTAGTTTATTCTGAGAAAAGTACGAAAAACACATCGGGAAGGGTTCGGATGTGTCGCGTCTGTAATGTATTTTGTTCGCTCTTTCGGAAAAGAACTTTCGAAATCTTTTGAAGCTAGACTTTCTTTTGATCGCCTTTCGGCTGAGCTTCGTATGTACCTTTTTAATGGTTTCTGTTGAAATGGTTCTTGACGGAAAAAACTAGATAGAGTTGAAAATAAGGATCCACGAACGGAGTACTACCGATTTTTGAATTTAAGTAAGGTAATATTCGGGATCAGCAGCGTCCGCTCTATCAAAATATATGTGCTTAAAACAAAAATAAAAAGTGCTGTAAGTTTTAATTATGGGCGCCTTACACGATTTCAACTAGAATGCAGCTAGATAAATGTAGCTTTTAGTCTAATTAATCTAGCTATAAGCAGCGCTGTAGCTATTTTTGCAACCAGATTTTCTCGCTTACTTATTCTTGCTTGCGTTGATTGCTCAATCGGAACATTGGCTTTTATTTCAACTTTTTCAAGAACAGCCTTAAAACTTCATCATATCTAGAGACGGCTTCTATAAATACGAATGTACATAGAAATTTCGGACTCGTTTTCCAACAAGAAATAAAAAATCTTAGAATCGGTATTCCATTGATTCGAAGTCAGGACTTTGACGCATTTTTCCATAAAGGATACAATTCAAGAATCTCAATGTGGATTCAACGGGATCTAAAGAAGAATTTTGTTTCTTTTATATAAGTTGATAGTTTAAAGTACGGTTAACGAGCATATTTGCATCTCATGAAATATTTGTTGCTAGCCAAAATGAGGATCGTCAAACTTAATTCCACTAAAACTACTAATTTTTGGGCGAAGATGATCTCACTCTCACCACTTGACAACGAAGATTTCATGAGATCAAGAAGATGTTCTTGTACTTCGGGCGATTTTTCTAGAAAAGCACAAACTTTTGTTGATCTTGAAGAGTTTTCCGCTATGCATCTATCAGCTCCGAGCCTATAGATTTTGAACTTTACCGTACAAACGGTTCATTCTGAGAGCACATTGTGGCAAAAAATTTTTACATTGATATTGAAAAGATACATGAGTACTTCTTCGTCAAATTACTGTACCCAACAGTTGCAATGTTAATATTTAGTTGAGTGTCACTGTGCATCATACTTGTATATAGGAACGACAACCAATTTCACTTTCGTTATAAATTCATTAGAAAAGATAGATATACAACGGATTTTTTGCTACAGTTGTAACAATCGAATTACACACTTTTCAGAAAATTTCATTTTCAATTCTGAATTAATCGTCATAGATAAAAATGAACTGTATTGCCGTTTCACATCCAAGGGCAAACATTGTTTTTTATTTGTAATAAGATATACTCATTATTGTACAAACAATCAACATGCTACATACGTTCCTTTTTCTCCCTAATCTTTTCTCGATAAAGAATGGATGAAGCATGAATTCAAAATTCGATGATAGGCAACTCATAGAAACGTAGGTATCAATAACACATATATCTATTGTGAATTGCCTTTTCATTTACATTTCTTGCTCACATATATTTTCATCTATCACGATGTCGACTATTGTACTCCTGTCCGCCGTATTACTGGCACTTAACATTTTCGTTCCCATTCATTCAAAAGTAACGAATCGTACGTCTTTGATCAAGAAAGATTTTCTCAGTGATCTTAGAGGAGGTGAATTTCCTGTCTATGATAGCACGGGAAAGAAGCAACTATATCGTATGGAATCGAAAATTAGCAAAACGCACAATGTTCAAGTATTTGCTACTTCATCGAAGAAAGTTTTAGCGGAACTGGCAGCCAGAGTGACATCGATCATGTACAAAGGAAATATTTCTGTTTTGGATACAAACTTGAATCAGTGGAAAAATGGTACAATTGAACACGGTAATAAATTTAGAATTTTTTGGAACGGACAACGTATATCAATGGAAGGTAAAGGTAATTCATTGGACACAACATTTCGTGATGAATCGAACTTAAATATATTGGCTCAATTTAAAAAAAGTAAAAGTTCATTGTTCTCGAAAAGCAAATACTATTTGCAAGTATTCTCTGATACATTACCCGATACATTCTACTTTTTGGGAGTAGCCGCCAGAGATGGAAACAAAAAGCTTTCCAAAGGTAAAATATTGATTTTGTTTTCTAAATGTAGATCGATTGATGACTATTAATTAATTTTAGGAGACGATAATACTAAGGATTATGAACGTTATGTTCGTATAAATAATCTTGCAAACACGGCTATATCATACGATAAGAACTATGAGAAAGGGAAAATGTATGCTGATGAATTGCTTACATTTAAACCTCAAGATACCGGTTATGACAGTGCCGTATTTAAAGGAAATATTTTCAATGGTCTTATCGCATTTAGAAGAGATAAAAATGTAGAAGCTGCGAAGAAGTTTTTATTAGCCGCTGGTAAAATAGCTGCAGATCTTGGAGGATCTGCAACTCTGAATTCGTTTGGTCCAAACATGAGTCTTGCTAAAGATTTATTGGAAGTACGTGAACAAGAAACGGTGCTCAAATATTTTAATTATTGTCGAAAATTTTGGAAAAAAAATATATTAGATGAATGGACAAGTG